AGTATTGTTGATGCGTACTTCATCATTGGTGCAATAATCTAAAAATGAAGCTACATTAACATGTAAAGCAAGAACTTTCATGAGATAGGTTAACCCTAGAGATTTCTTGCAGTACAAGCAAACTAAATCGAATGGTAAGCTAGTTAAATTAACACAAATTACTACATTACTGGTAGATTTCAAAAGTTCAACTTTTTGTTATATATGTTTCTAAAATTTAACAGGAAATTCAAACATTTCAAAATTTTAGAGAGTGTCCAACTCTTAACTCATCTTTTCAAATCTGAAAAGTTTTGATTAATTTATGGTCAAACTTAATCATTGTTGAACACAGAATACACAAATACAGAGAAAGACATCATCTCTAGATGATATTTTGTATCAAGGAAAGATATTTTGAAACCATTTTCTTGGAATCTAAGCGTGAAATCCTTTGATGTATGTTGAATGTCGATCTACGATAAGAGGAATGAGGTTATCTTCAACAATGGATTCAGGCTTATCGCAATTTCGTCTCACCACAACTTTACCGCTGCTCGAAACAACCACCTCCTCTTTACGCGTTAACAGCTCATTGGCTACAACCGCATGCACTTTGTATTTTTGTAGAGCCGTTGTAGCCTTCTCTATCAGAATCTTTGAGTCTGTCTCAAGCTGGAACAAGAATTTGCATATTATATTATCGAATTTCGGAAAATGGAGGATAGAGAGACTGACCTTGAATGATATGCAAAAAGCCTCTGGAGCCCAACTGGATCTCAAGACTGAAAGCATTTTAGGGACTTGAGCTAGGCTTATGTCCAAAGGACCAGCTCCTGATTGCATTTTGTGTTCGGTCTGGTTTCACCAAATGTATAAAAAACCATTTTTCAGAGACAAGAATTGTGTAGCCATGGCTGTAAGGACATGAGAGACTTACCATGCTTTTCCATGGCACATAAAAGTCAGATACAGCAGCAGCAAGATAAAACATTGAATTTGGACCGTCACCTTTCAGTGCCGTTGCAATCAACTGCAACATCTGTAACCAGAAACATTTACAAAGATAAAGTAACTTCAGCTGCAGTTTCGCTCTCGATTTCTATTGCATATGGCAGTTTCATGTAGCTAAGATTCGATTATATATGTGTCTACGACAAAAACTACAAAGATAACTAATTAGATTGTATAAGATTCAATAACCTGAAGATACTCATATATGGTTGAGAATGGGAGTTTTAGTAAGCGACCTGATGATACTGCCTGCAACGTTAATTGGTAAAAGTAAACATACACAATCAGATTTTTCGTAGAAAAAAAAAGTCAGTGAAAAGAAACAATTGGTCCAATACATACAGCTTGCTGTTCCAAAACAGCCATTTTCACAGCTTCCAAATGTGATGCATGAACTGAAGAAACCCAAAAAAAGAAGATGAATAAAGACACATAATTTGTTACTTTACCAAACTGAAACAAGCACTTTTATAAACCATAAATAAACCGTGCGAAGAAAGATGAATCTATGTAGATAGATTGAGAAAGAGGTTTGAATGTTTGTCTGATCTGGAAACTCAAAACATTCGAGGAATGGATCCTCAGGAAGAGAGCGGCAGTACGGTTGGCAAGTTCCCCTAAAGATTCACATAAAACCGATACAAATAAGAATCATAACCAACAACAAAAGTCGACTTATTTTTCCAACTACACACAGTTGAGAAAACAATATTAATGTTACCTTCTATACAGAAATATCACAGCTTTCACGAAATTCCTTTGCAACCCAAAACAAAACAAATTTGGATCAAGAGTGATGATAACGTACACCGAATAAATTTGTTTGTCGAAAAGATAAAAGTAATAATCGATATACCTTACACATCGTCGCTCCAATGGAACTGTAGTTCCACCTGAAGTCACACATACGATCGTGATGAACAAATTAAGCTTCTTTACAATCTCATCCGACGATTCGAAAAAGGAAGTAATTTCATCTTCCACAACTCCTCCCAACCCATTCCAACACTCTAATTCAAAACAGAATCACATATGTCATGTACTGAGTACACAGAGATTATGACAGAAACATGAACTTATATAAACTACAGTTTTCTCACAAATCAAATTGAAGTGTTTTTGCTTGGGATAAATGTGGTAAGAAAAGTTTGGAATCGAAATGGGCCGGGCATCGTTTGCATAATAATTCATGTGGGCTTTATATGAGGCCATAAACTAATAATATATAGACCCATTTTCCTGAAAAATGATGAGTCTTCGTTGCTAGGGGAAATCAAAACTTGTTTGGGAATGGATCCATCGGCAGCGAAGGAGGATCTGAACCAAGTCATCAATTCCATTCAGAAAACTTTGGGACTCCTTCATCAGTTACATCTCACCATCTCTTCTTTCACTCCCGCTAATAAGCACCATCTCCTCAACCGCATGTAACCGCTCCTTCTTCTTCTCCATTCCTCCAATTTGTGTCTCTATTTTGCAGCAATTCTCGTATATACTTGTGTTTTTGGTTTTTCAACAATGATATTTTTAGATTGGATTTGAATTGTAAAAGTACTGAAAGCCATTGGCTCACTACCCTCTTTGAATGTATTTGATGTGTTTTTTTTTTGGCAAGGATGATTATTGCTTAATTTCTACACCTCTCAATATGACAAGAGTCTAATAAACTCTTCTTTGAGTACATTATGCAAACCTCTGAGCCTAATTTCGTCTTCTGCTTTTGGTTTAGAGATTATGTTTGCTTTTGGGAAGAGATTGGGTTTGGTGTGATGATTGTAAAAGTAATTCCTCCTACTGAAAGCTAAATGGCTTGATAGACTCACATTACACCCATAGAATATGAACACCACCCTCTTCAAACCTATGATATGTAGTGTGCCTACCGAAATCTTGTGAATTTGGGTACATTATGTACTATATGCAAATGATTGTTAGAGACCACCTTGGATGTTAGAAGTGCATATGCGAGTAATTTCAAGTTATTTTTACTTCTATTCGGTTAACATTTCTCCCTTCAGTTTCATTCAATTTGTGCCTCTAATCTATTTTGCAGCAATTCTCTTGTGTCGGAGCTAGATAGCATGGCTAAGTTGTCTGAGAAATGCAACATTCAAGTCCCCATGGAGGTTCTCAAGTAAAGACCAACTCCTTTGAGATAGTT